CTAACCGACGCGAACCTTCAAGTACGAAAACCCAGCTTGTGCAAAGAAGAGGCGTCCTTTCCGAACCTGGAAACAGCGCATTTTCCGAGTGCCAGACTCGCTCGACATCCCCGCCGGCACCGTCCAGGGCATTGCGTGCTTGCTCCTGTGAGGTTCCGCTTGGATGCCCCACTGCCGTGAAGACGGTGGTTTGGGAAAACAGGGTGTGAAACGGGAGATCCAACCTGAAATGTGATTCTAGAGTGCACGCATTCTGTGCGAAATGCCATGAGCCAGAGTGGAACGTTAAACTTCGGGTCTTGATCTCGTGTCCGAGAACTTTTCCAGGGCCCGAGAATTAATTTAGGATGTTTTGTTTTCTGTTTCGCAGAGCAGCTCCAACTATGGCTGCTGAGAGATTCTCCCGATCACATTATTCGCCCATTCCCAAGCTGGCCGTGTTCAAAACAGAGGCAAACTTCATTGAAAACGTTGCCATCTTGGCTTGAGTGTTGTATGTGCCCCGGTGGTACATCCCCGCCCGCTTCTTGTTATGCTTCCCAAATCGGTTTGCTGGGGGGTGGGGGTCGTGGTGCTTGCCCCCCCTTAGCCAGCGGTGTCCCAGGCTAAGGCAGCGGAGACCTATGGGTGGTTGTGGTGGTGGCGGTGCTGCTGCTGTTGTTGTGGTCGTTGTTTTGGTTGTGATTGTGATCGTCCTTGTCGCTGTACTGGTGGTGATGCCGGCAGTAGTAGCAGTCGTAGTAGTAGTAGTAGTAGTAGTAGTAGTTGTAGTTGTAGTTGTAGTTGTAGTTGTTGTTGCTGTTGTGGCAGTGGCGTCGTAGTAGTAGTAGTAGTAGTAGTAGTAGTAGTACTAGTAGTAGTGGTAGTGGTTGTGGTAGTGGTAGTAGTAGTGGTAGTAGTAGTGGTAGTAGTAGCAGCAGTAGGAGTAGCAGTAGGAGTAGTAGTAGTAGTAGTAGCAGTAGTAGTAGCAGCTCCCTACCATTTACGATGCGTTCGTCGTGTTATACCACTTCTTCTTGCCTCAAAATCCACTCCTGGATTTTGGAAGTTTGGGCTTCGGATAGGGGTGCGGGGGGCGGGGGGGATGACACAGACACCCAGATCAACATCTCCACAAGAGCCGTTTTAGAGGTCAGGTATCGTGAATTTTCCTTTGCGTGCTCAAAGAAGAGGGAGCGGAGGGGGAGGGAGGAGGGAGGGAGGGGGAGGGTGAGGGGGGGGGAGGGAGGTTTAAAAAGCTGGTCAAGGCAGGGTTGGGGTGGGGCCGTTTTACTCGGAATTTACAATACTTTCGTGATGTCGGACCCTCTTATACAGTCACCAAACCTACTTCTGGAGATCGCGAACTCGACTTTGGGATTTCGGAGGGCTTTCGGCGAAAACTCGAAATTGGGTTGGGGGAAGCTTTTTCGGGGGATGATCACGACACTGTTTCGTGGACACCCCGAACAATATCTCCACACCTAGCACGCGCACACCACACTGTACTTCAAAAGCAAACCCTCCTACGCCGAGGTCTGGGCTCTAGGGGTGTTGCCGAGCTCCTCCCACGCACAGCTGGCATCTTTGTTTTTGATGTTTATAACATGTTGCGCTTCAGGTTTTTTAGGAGTGTTAAAAGCTTCTTGGCAGCACCTGCGTTTTGCACGGTCTTTGCGGCGTTTTCGCACTATCCGACCACCTGTGCTTTAGCA